GATAAGTGCTCAAATGTGATGCATTTTAGCACCTAAGTTAGGGTATTTTAGTCCATTTATCTATCTTACTTTCCCGTTTTAGTACTACTTTGTGTTTTTGTCTATTTCAGGTCAATAAGGTTTAAACAGGCTAAAAAGATACTTTAAGCTCCTTTTTGGAGTTAAGATAAAAATCTAGAAAAAGTCAGAAAAACTGCACTGTTCAAGGTTCGATCGATCGAAGGAAGCCAGGATCGATCGAAGATATCTACAATCGATCGAGATGAAAGTAGTGCCAGCTCAGTGGATAAGGTCGCCGGCTGTCAAAATATCTTTGCCACATTAGCTTCGATCGATCGAAGTAAGTGTTCAATTGATTGAAGCCCTGTTCGATGGATCGAAGCACTTACTGGCAGTGAGCTGTCTAATTCTCGAACGCGTCCAAATTCCACCAACTTTTGTAGCTGCGAGTTTACGCCAATCAAAGGCCTTATTTTTGACTTGTTGCTTACTCAAAGAGGCATGTATTGAAGTTAAATGAACTAATTTGTATAGAGTTAACAATTTTTAGTAGAAAGAAGTTTTAGCTTAGATATTTTCTCTCTTTTTTGGGAGCAAAGCAAAGAGGAAGAAGATGGTGCCCACATTGAAGGTAGCCCTTGAGGGTGTCATCTAAATCCCTCTCTTGGGGCTAGAGATAGCCCATAGGTTTGCTTCTTAAACTTAGTATTTTGTAGTTTTTGGGGATTTATGTTGTAAATAATGTTTTGACCATGAATTTATATAGATCTTGAGTTTTTACATGATTTGTATGGATTAATTTTTTCCAATTAATCTTTTAGTTCTATCCATATGTCTATGTATGCTAGAATGAATGGTCATGTGCTTACACTAGGTTTTATGAGTTTGATGCATGTCTATGTGTGTTGAAATTATAAATTTAGTGATGGTCAAGGCATAGTGCTTAATTGATTACTCTTTTGGTTTGTTTAATGGATCATGCTTATTTTTTGATAGATTGTGCTACCTCCTTAGTTTAATTTTCATGTCATTAGCATAGTTGTATGTAGTTGCTTTAAATTCCTAGATAGGTAGATAATCCATTCTTGTTGTTTGTTGATCCATGCTTATGAGTGCAAGTAGTACATTTCTATAGATTTTTGTGTGTGCATTAATTATGGGTTTATTGAATAGTTAATGGCTTAGTTTGATAGGTTGTTCTACTCACTAGATCAATTAGATAATTTATACTTAATTTGACATCCATGTTTGGTATTTCAATTAATGGCATGCACAATTGGTTTACAACATGAAGTCCTCTTAAATTGACAATTGCTAATGTTTAGTGAAGTGAAGCTTAGTGGTGAACTCTAAGTCCTAAGACTTTTCTCTCATTCTCTTTACCTTAATCTTTAGATTGATTTTTATCTACATATTTTTAATTGAACCATTAGTTTAATTCAACCAAACAAAACCCATCTTTGATTATTTGACCTATTAATCCAATATTAATTACGGAGTACCTTGCAAATCCCTTGGGATAATTCCTACTTGCTCTTGCTACGTTAGTAGTAGTAGTGGTAGTGGTTTTTATAAATTTAAAATTGACCAAAAAAGCTTTCTTGAATCGCACTCACTATCACGCAATTTGGCGTGCATGCGACAGGCGCGAACAACGTTAAATCGACTACAATGAACTTTCTTCAAATTTCCAAGAAATGAAGGAAACTTTGATTAATTTCTGATTGAGAGCCATGAGAGCTTAATCTCAAACAGTTAAATGAAAGTCTTTGAATAGAATATGGCCGGCACTTTTAGGATGCTCTTGAATCCCCTTTCCTTCCCCACTTCACTTCTATTTATAGACATCATGAAGGGACAAGTTAGTAATTTTGAGTCACTTTGGATAATTATCACAATTATAATTTGATTAATTATCATAAATGATGATTATCCTCAAATATATATATTAAGAATAATTTGAATAACTGAATATATATATATATATATTAAGAATAATAATTATTTTATTTTACTAACCTAATTTCTAAGTGGGCCTGGTTAGTTAGCAATTTGAAATTGGCCCATTAAAGTGTATTGGGTCAATTAAGTAATTTAGGATGATCTATAACCCATGTTTTGTAGTGGGCTTAGGTTGTTTGGGTAACAGGCCCATGTTTCAAAGTGGGCTAAATTGATGATAAACCCAAATTATAGCCCGAACCCATCATGTGAAATTTTTAGTGTCTACAAACCAAAAATATGATTTTGGTCCTCCACGACGAAGTTGATTACAATCAATCAAATGTTATTAGTCATAATTAAATTCAAGACCTGCACCATTGCATCACAAAATGCTCTAAATTTCAAAACACCTTTTAATGTAAAAAATTAAAAATAGGTGAAAAAAAGCTTAAAGACAAATATGACCATGTACCGGTGGGACTCAATCTTGGATTATCTTGTGAAAATAACACAGTTTTTCAATCCCAACCAAAAAAAAAAAAACTCTTGTTTAAGTGTCCCCCACCATACCTTTCCTGTTTTATATATTTTATAGGACAATACTTAGGTCCTCACTACTGAGAATTTACAACATACTCACAGTTGATATAGACCAATAATAAATAGATACGTTCTATTTTAATTACCAAATCATAGATGGTAATCAAATCACCATATCTGATTTAGTAAGTCAGTATTGTTCTATTATTATTATGATACTCCATTGTGTTATAATAAAGAAACTCTCCATAACTCAAACACATTTTGTAATGATTATGAAATTACATTTTTATTAATCCACAAATTATATAATGACATTTTAACATACGTACCAATACTAGCAACATTTTACTTACACAATAGCAAAAACGTGTTCAAGACACTCCTACCCTCACCAAATTTTAGTTTTTGTTGTTATTGCACTCCCATATGATAGTTGTTTTTACATATTTGAAAAGTTATTTTGAAAATAAATTTAATATTTTTGCCGATATTATCATTTTTAGGTGTTGTTTTAAAATAAAAATAATAATAAAAAAGGTGATACAAGAACCTAAGGCCTAAAGAAAAAAATAATAATAATAAATAATAATAATAATCTAAGGCCTAAGGCTCAAAGAAACTAGAGAGCAGGTGACTGTAATTTAGTTTGGATTCACTTATCTATACTATTATGGGTGAAGTACAGAAAACACCCCTATACTATATTTACAGTGCATATTACACCCCTCACGTACACAAAACAACCTCAAAGTATTGATTTGGTACAAATAAATCCCCTTAGCACATTTAATTTAGAGTTTGCCTAAATTGCCCTTTATGAGACATTTTATAAATTATTTTAAAATACATTATTTTGCAAAATTACAGAAAAGGACACAAAATGAAAGCTACAACAAAGTGAGGATTGCTACATTAGCTCACGTGGCAGCAGCCTGAGTTTTTTTTTAAATTTTAAAATGGGGTCTCCTTCTTTCTCTCCCATTTGTTGCTCTTTCTAACCGACAATGATTGAAGGAAGCTCTGATAACAACAAATACAACGGCCAGAGAATAATTCGGCAACAGCGATGAGACAGTGAAGAAGGGGACAACAACGCTGAAGATGGCAGGATTTGAATATGGACACGCTGAATGGGGCGAGGAATACTTGATTGTCTTATCACAGCCTGATGTTTGAAGAGTTTGGGAGAGTGAATAATGGATCTTTGAGGAAGATTTTGTTCCCTACGGCAATGTATTGGACTTGATTGGTGACGACATGGGAAAAATGTTAGATTAAAGCCATTGTAGCGAGGTGCTCACAGTGGTAATCAAATCGGGATTGGTCAGAGATAATCTGGGTCAGTTCGCTGGTGAGTTGAGAATTAGGTTTGATATCAAGTTTGTTTCGATTCGTACCTTTGAATTCTTATTGTTCAAAGTAATCAGACTCATGGGTGGTGAGAAAATAGTCTTTATTTTATCTTCGACAATCCAATCACCTGTCAACACCAGAATTTTGATTGATCTCCAGTGAATTTCACTACACGGGGTGGTGTGCGAGGACAACGAAGGATTAATAGATGGTGGGATGTTATCGTTCCATGAGTGAGTCATAAACAAGCTTGAGTTATACTTAATGGTGTTGGGAGTCTCTTAATGGCGGCAACGATCTGGTTAGAAGGATTGAGACGTTTCTGCTGTGTCCGAAGATTTTCTCGGCGTGGAGATAGCTGTGAGAAGTAATGCGATGCCGTAGAGGGAGGTGTTTGTTGGCCCGAGAATAAGGCCAGTGGTGTTGAGTTAGTTGCCGGCGACTGTGGTTGCCGAACCTTGATGTTCGAAAACGAGGGCTCTCTAGTTCGTAAAACAGATCCCATCTCATGTGGTGAACCCACTTTGATCTAGGTTTGACCCAGATTGAAACGGGCTAACCCATCAAGAAAAAAAAAGTATACATAAAACTTCCTTCGGCATTTTTGGAAGAGTAAAAGGGCAAAATGGGCATTACAACATTATTTTAGGTCAGATTTCTATTTAAGGGGTGTTTTCGCACGATGTTAAAAGATTAAGGGTGTTATTTGCACACTTTTTTTAAAAGAGGTAAAAGTGCTACCAGAAGTATACATTAGGGGTGTTTTTTGCACTTCACCCGTACTATTATAAAAGTGTAAGATTTTTTCTTTATTTTTAAATATTTTTACAATTTTTTTAATGATAATTTGACATTTAAAAAGAATATTTAATATATAATTTAAAGATGGTATATCTATCTATATCTATTCCTTATTTCTAAATATTTTTACTATATTTTTTTAAATCATAATATCACATATATCTATATCTAAATCTATTTATATATATTTATATCTTTTCCTTATTTTTAACGAATTTTATTATATTTATTTTAAATTTATTTAAAAACATTTTTTTTATTTATTTTTATTTTTTATCAATAGGGAGATTTTAACAATTTTATTTAGATTTTTAATATGGCATTGGACGTGCTATTTATTACCTCTTTGGTAGTACCCTTAAAATGGTAATGGAAAACTCACTTTAGTGAAGAAGATTAACGTCCTTCATTACATTCTCTCTGGTAAATATTTGCCAGACCACAATCAAATCACTCAAAAACAATGGACCCAGAGTTCGCCGGAAAGCCCATCACTGCCCCCAGTTCGGCCATTGACCAGATGCCGGAAACCCCAAATCGGAGGGCCCATCACCGCCGGGCCCGCTCCGACACCTTCTTCCGCTTCCCGGATGACATCCTCCTCGACGACGACGTCGACATCGCTGACTTCAACCTCGATATCTCCTCTCTGCTCTCCTCCGACACGGCTAACCTCCCGATAACCACCGTCCATTCCGACTCATCCAACGGCCGCGACAACTCCAAGCCGAAGCCGGTGGCCCCGATCAGCAGCCACTTCAGGAGCTTGTCCGTCGACGCCGACTTCTTCGACGGCCTTGATTTTAGCTCAGCTGCAGACGGCGGCGAGTCCGACAGATTTGGCGTGAACCCGGCGGCGGAGAAGGGAGTGGGTGGTCGTCACAGGCACAGCAACTCGATGGACGGTTGTACTTCGTCGTTTGAGGGGGAGTGGATGCTGGACGCTGCTAAGAAGGCTATGGCTCCTGATAAACTCGCTGAACTCTCTCTGATTGATCCCAAGAGAGCTAAAAGGTTTCAGCATTTTTACCTGATAAGATTTTCTTTTAATTCAATTTTGTTGAATTTCATTAGTAATATTTTCTTTCTCAGCAATTTGTATGGTTTGATTTATCGGTTTGATTTATCACTTTGATGTGTTGTGTTGGTTGATTGAGTATATATTGTTCTGATCATATATTTGGTTTTGGGTTTCGAGTCTTTGCTTGGTTTATCAGAAAATGGAGGAAAAGTATGAAACCATAATTTCAGGTCTCCCAAAAGCTTTAATCTGAGCCTTATACAACTTTTTCTTGTCTTATTGGAGATTTTTTATTAGGGTTAAGTGCAAAAAACAAAAAAAAAAAAAAACCTCTAATATAAGTTTTGTGCACAAATAGTTCTTCCTTTTTTAAAATATGCAACTTAGTCCATAAATTTTTTAAAAATGTGCAAATACGTCCCTCTTACCACTTTTTGGTCAAAATTGACATAAAATAAATTTAAAAACCATAATTTCCCCTTTTCTCTTCCTATTATACCCTTTTCTAAGGGACTGCTTCTCTCCTGCGCCCTCACCACAACCAGTGGTGCATCGCAACCACAACCACCTTTGGCCTGCCACCAACCAGACGGGAGTGGTTCTGCCACCTCTGTAGATGTTGGTCACGTATTTGGTTTTCCGGCCATCATGGCTTAGCAGTCAATTCAGGCAATTTTTCGGTGGCGAGCTTCCCTTTGTATCAGTTCGGTGATGAGTACAGAGAACAGTTCCGGCAAGCAGCCTTGGGTGACCCAATTCAGGTGAGCTCCAAACGTACCAACGACCATCCTTGGATCGGTGGCGATGAGGGCCTCTGCAACGACCATCCTCTTCTTTTTTTGTGGCTGTGGTTTAGGCTATGGACATGGTTAATCAAAGGAAATTGTCCAAAATGGTAATTTTACATTGCTTGGTTTTTTTAATATTATTTCATTTTATTGACAAGAAGGTATTAATGTCGTTTTATGCGAACAAGGGGCTAATTGCACCAAATTAATAGTATAGGGGGTTTGGGTTTTATATCACACAGGGACTTTTTTGCACTATATGGATTGTAGAGGGTTTTTTTTTTTGCACTTAACCATTTTTATTACTAGGAAATTACAACAACTAATAACAAAAAGACTCAAATTACCAAAAGATTTACAATCTATTTTCTTAATATTTGATTATTGGTCCTGTTTGATCTGTGTGTCTACTTGTTTGTATCATGTATTCTTCATTTTTCCTTTTTCATCTCCATCCCAGTTCTCTATTCTCCACTTTATTTCCTTTAGTTTGGAGAATATGGTTTTGTCTCAGTGAAGGGTTTTAGAAGTAATTGCATGTTTGCCCTTAACAATTGATTCCTCTTGTTATTTTTTGTTATAGGGTTCTTGCAAATAGGCAATCTGCAGCACGTTCGAAGGAGCGGAAAGTTCGATACATGAGTGAGCTGGAGAAGAAGGTACAGACACTTCAGACCGAAGCAACCACCCTCTCTGCACAGGTCACAATGCTACAGGTATGGACCATTCATTACGCTCACAGCTTTAGAAAAAGAGTATGTAGATAATTTCCTAGTTTTATAAACCAAGGATGATTGATTTTGACTCGGAATCAATTTGCAGATTTATGATTTATTTATTGATTTTCCATGATTATAAGCTTTTGGGAAATTCTTACATTTTTTTTGTTCTTCATCTATATATGGTCCAAGAGTAGTTTAAATAAATTCATTTTTTTTCCTTCTATTTTTATGTATTTATATATTTCATTTGTTGGGAGTGGGGTGGGAGATGATTGTTTTGCTCGAAATAAAACATTCTCTATCGGATGACTGAATTGAGAGTCATTGCTATTATTTTCTGCCATTTCCATTGATGTGCATACCACAGTCCCTTGCATTCTAGAAAATTTTGGTCTTTTAGGGGAAATGAGTTATCACTCAATTTAAGCTATTAGAGGATTTAAATATTAAACTTACATCCTCTCTAACAGCTTAAGCTTTTAGAATAGATGGTTGTTAACATAAGCCTTCGTGTTATAAGTTATATATATAATAGTGGGTCGTTATGTAATTATGTTTAGTTGATAGGCTATTTGTGTTATTATGTAAACCTTGTAACATATATAAGCCTACATAGGCTTATTAGGTTTTGTAAGTGTTTTTATATACAAAGTGAATACGATTTTGCTCTCTGTTTCTCTCTTGATTAAGAACATGGTATCAGAGCACAATGATCATGAGTGTGAGAGTTAGTAGGTGGGTTGGTGGTGAATCACGATTCCAATCGTGATTCAAATTGTGATTCAGATCGTGAATGTGGTTTTGATGTAACTGTCGGCAATTTCTTGTTCACCGTAATCAGATCTGAAGTGTGTTCGTCGTTTCTGCCTTCTTCATCGTCACCGGCAGCTCCTCTTTGGTGGTCGTCGTCTTTGGTTTCTTCGTCGTCGCCGGCAGAAGCTTCTTCGTCTCGATTTGCAGAGGTGATATTGGTTTTTGGCCGGAAGTTGATTCGGCCGCTGCTCGTGGTTGGGTTGCCGTCGCTTCCGCCGTATTGTTTACCGGAATTTGTGACAGAGTGAAGAAGAAGACCCGTGTTTGGCAACACGGTTGTGCTATTCCAATCTTGGTTTACTAGACCAGGGATACTCCAGATCCGGTCCTGTTCCAAGATCCGACCCGCACCAGGATCCGACCCGCACCAGGATCCGACCCGGTTCTAGAATCCGACCCGTTACAGACCTGCTTCCAGGTTTGGTCAGAATACAGAATTTTTGTTTTCTCTCCTTTTTCTTCTCTGGTTTGCTGGATTCAACATGGCCTCAAGTTCAAGTTCAGATTTGCTTTCACCTACGAACAGTCTTAATTCTCCCATGACTTTAGTTAAGCTCAATGGGAAGAATTACATATTGTGGGCCAAATCTGTTGCCATTTTTCTCAAAGGCAGAGGTCTTGGTTCTCATTTGACTAAAGAGAAACTCAAGGCAACTGATACTTCCTTTGATGCATGGGAAAAGGAAGATGCTCAGATCATCTCTGTGATGATAAACAGTATTGAACCCCAAATTAGTTCAACGTTACTTTATTTGGATACAGCCAAGGAGATATGGGATAGATTGCAGTAGTTATATTCTGGGACAGGTAATATCACCCGTGTTTATGAGCTATGTAAACAGTACTTCAATCTTGAACAAGGTACTCAAAGTATAGAAGAGTATTATTCCAAAGTTATGGGAGTCTGTGAAAAGCTGAATATGTATCAGCCCATCACTGCTGATGTTCGCAATATGCAACAACAGCGTGCGGACTTTAATGTTGTCCGTTTTCTTACTGGTTTATCATCAACATATGAGCCTTTTCGTGCACAGATTATGAGCAGTCTAACACTTCCATCTCTTGCTGAGTTCTCGACTTCAGCGTGCTACACTAGCAAGTGATACCTCAAATTTGAATACTGGACAGAGTGGTGAGCGTTCAGCATTGGTAGTTTCAAAGGGTGAACATAATACTTACCGTGGAGGTCGTGGGGGACGCTCCGCCCGTGGTGGTCGTGATTCACGTGGAGGACGTGGCCGTGGCAGGGAATTAAGAAAGTGTACTCATTGTGGTCTTTCTAATTATACTGTGAACTTTTGTTGGGACCTTCATGGGAAACCATCTAGTTATGCAACCCTCTTCTCCGAATGATGTCGCTTCTGGATCGCACAATGTAGCTGAATCAGATACAGTTCATGTTCCACGGGATGAGTATACTCAGTTTTTGTCTTATAAGCAAGCATCTAATTCATCTTCCACGGCTACCTTTGCCCAGTCAGGTATTGCACACACATGTCTATTGTCTTCCACTCGCAGTCCTTGGATCATAGACACTGGAGCATCTGATCATATGACCGGATGTTCTTCTCTTCTATCTGATTTTCATTCTGTACCTACTTCTCAAAGTGTTACTCTTGCTAATGGTTCATCCATTCAGGTTTCAGGTTTGGGGACAACTCAACTTAGTGATTCATTGTCTCTCTTGTCTGTTTTACATGTTCCGCAGTTTCCTTTTAACTTAATGTCTATCAGTAAGCTTACTAAATCTCTCCAGTGCTCTGTTATATTTGATCCTACTTCTTGTGTGTTTCAGGATCTCAAGACGAAGAAGACGATTGGTACGGGACATGAAGCCGGTGGCTTATATTATTTTGATTTCGAACCTTCTCCTGTGGCTCTTCAGTCTTCTCTGTCTCCATTCCAGTGGCACTGTCGCCTTGGTCACCCGTCACTTCAAGTTTTGAAGCGTCAAGTTCCTAGTCTTAGTTATTTGAAATTCTTGTCATGTGAAGTTTGTCAACTTAGTAAGTACCATCGCGTGTCTTTCAAGTCTAGGGTTAATAATTGTGTTTCTAGTCCTTTTTATTTGGTTCATTCAGATGTATGGGGTCCAATAAAACATTCTTCAATCAATAAATTTCATTATTTTGTGACATTTGTGGATGACTATTCTTGCCTGACTTGGTTGTTTCTGATGAAAGATCGTTCTGAGTTATTTTTAATTTTTCAAAAATTTCGCAAAGAAATCAAAACTCAATTTGGATGTCCAATTCGTATTCTACGTTCTGATAATGCTAAGGAATATTCTTCAACTCCCTTTGATACATATCTTAGTGATAAAGGAATTATTCATCAAAATTCATGTGTTTATACTCCACAACAAAATGGAGTTGCAGAACGTAAGAATCGACATCTCTTAGAAGTAACTCGTGCTCTTTTGTTGCATATGCGTATGCCTAAACAGTTTTGGGGTGATGCTGTTCTTACAGCTTGTCATCTTATTTACCGTATGCCGTCATCTGTATTAAATGGCAAATCTCCACATTCTATTTTATTTCCTGATTCTCCCTTGTTTTCTCTTCCTCCTAGGGTTTTTGGATGTGTATGTTATGTCCACAATCTTGGTCCTACTTTTGATAAACTAGACCCACGTGCCACAAAGTGTGTATTTCTTGGCTACTCTCGCTCTCATAAAGGTTATCGCTGCTATAGTCCTATTTCTCAACGGCACTTTATTAGCGCGGATGTCACATTTTCTGAGTCCATCCTGTATTTTTCAGATACTGATTCACTTCTTGATATCAATCTTGAGTCGCCTCCTTCTGCAATTCCTCTTCCCTCACCTTCTCTTCAATCTCAATCTCTGGTTCCTTCATCTGCCCCGTTACAGGTGTACAAACGAAGACCAAAGCCATCTGCTGTCGTGCCTCCTCCATCATCTTCAGAGTCTTTGGATCTGACAAATTCCACTGTGTCTGATTCCTTGCCGATTGCACTTCGTAAAGCTCCTCGCTCATGTGCTACTAAACATCCCATTGCTCATTATGTTTCTTATAATTCCTTATCACCATCATTCTCAAGTTTTTCCTCTCAGTTGTCTACTACATTTGTTCCTAAGACTGTGCAGGATGCTTTGTCTGATTCGGGTTGGAGGAAAGCAATGCAGGATGAAATGGATGCTTTGCATACGAATGGCACGTGGACTCTTGTTCCATTACCTCCAGGTGTCAAACCTGTTGGTTGTCGCTGGGTATATACTGTGAAGTATCTTCCGGATGGGTCCGTTGAGCATTTAAAAGCACGTCTTGTTGCCAAAGGTTATACCCAGACTTATGGTATTGATTATGATGAGACGTTTGCACCTGTTGCTAAGATTTCCTCTATTCGTGTTTTGATTTCTCTTGCTGCTAATAGGCATTGGCCTCTGTTTCAGTTTGATGTTAAAAATGCCTTTTTGCATGGTGACTTAGCAGAAGAGGTTTATATGGAGCAACCACCTGGGTTTGTTGCTCAGGGGGAGTATCTTCACACTGTTTGTCGCCTTAAAAAGGCTCTATATGGCTTGAAACAATCTCCACGGGCTTGGTTTGGAAAATTCTCTGAGGCGGCATTAAAGTTTGGTCTTCAGAGGTGTCAGATTGATCATTCGGTATTTCACCAGCGCACTAAAGCTGGTTTCATAATTCTTGTGGTGTATGTTGATGATATTGTGATCATAGGTGATGATTCTGAAGGCATTGCTAAGTTGAAGTTGTTTCTGCAATATTGATTCCACACTAAAGACTTGGGTAAACTTAGGTATTTCTTGGGTATTGAAGTAGCTAGATCCAAGACAAGTATAAGTTTATCCCAACGAAAGTATGTGTTGGACTTATTAGAAGAAACAGGTATGTTAGGTGGTCGTCCGGTTGGTACTCCTATGGATTCAAATACAAAACTTGTAGCTGATGTGGGTGATCTATTTAGTGACTCGGGCAGATTTCGTCGCCTTGTTGGGAAATTAATTTATCTCACTATCACTCAACCTGATATTTCATATGTTGTTAATGTTGTAAGTCAGTTCATGGGAGCCCCTAGAATGCCACACTGGATTGCTGTTCTTCGGATTCTCCGATATCTCAAGCAAGCTCCAGGTTTTGGATTACTATATAAACCAAATGGTTATCTCAGGGTGGAAGATTTTACAGATGCCGACTAGG